AAAGGGGGTGGTCTTCCCCACATATGTGCCCTCAAGGAAAATTGTAAATGGGTTTTCAAGGATGTTAAATACCCGGGACAAAATTTAAAAAGAACCCCTGCAGTACACTTGGGAAAGCCCTAAAAAATCATTCCCCGGAGCAAGAAAGATGTGACTCTTGCTCGTGTCCCCCTACGTGTTGGGTGTGCACTCACCAATTGGGGGTTTTAAAGGGGGGGTTGCTCCTAGCCCGACCCTGCCTCTTCACTGGCGCTACTGTTCCTCTCTCCTCTCCCCTTTGCACCATGAGCTTTATCATACGTCTTCTGTGACTGGGGAAAAATGTTTCCCCAAACATCTCTTTTGGGACCCCCGTTTAACTTCCAATTGTAAACCCCTTATTGCTGTGTCCCCCCCCCCAAAATTCCCCCTGAAACATCCATTTTTTGTCCCCCCTTTTGTCAATTCAAAGAAATTTTTTTATTTTGGTTTTTAATCATTTTCCCCAAATCCCCTCCTGCCCTTTCTAGTGCCCAAAAAAACATAAGAACATAAGAACGAAGGAAAAAATGCAGAAGGCCTACTGGCCCATGCGGGCAGGTAAAATTTCTCCTACCGGTTTAAACCCCAATGCCCCCAAACCCTAGTGGGTCAGGTCACTTTGATTTGGGGGAGGAACACGGCAAAAAACCTGTTAGCCCCGGGCTATCAGGTCTAACTCACCCCCCACCCAATCTACTTTTTTAATTTATCCAACCTATTTTTAAAGCTACCAACGTTCTGGCCTCTATAACGGTACTTGGGATTTTTGTTCCACTCATCCACAACTCTATTACCAAACCAGTTTTTTCCTATTTTCCTTTTCCTGAATCCTAAATTTTTTCCCCAATTTTTAAAAACCTTTGCTGGGGTTTCCTTCTGGGTTAGTTTTTTTTCCCAGCACACTTTTTTACACCCCCTTTTTTTTATTCCTGTCTTCCTTTTTATACCCTCAATCATACCCCCCCTAATTCTACGTCTTTCTAGAGGGGTGCAGTTTCGGGGGCCCTTAGCCCAAACCCTCATGGGGAAGGTTTCTGATACATGGATAATCTTTGTCACCTCCTTTGTACATTTTGCAGAGAATTTTTTCCATTCTGAAAACGGTGCCCCAAAACTGTGCAGCAAAATTTCCTAAATGGGCCTAACCAAGGATGTATAGAGTTGAAGAAAAAACCTGAGGACCCCTTTTATTTATGCTTCTTGATATGAACCCAAAGGGATTTTATTTAGCTTTTTGCGAACCCCTTATGCACTTTTTGTCTTGGTTTCAGTTTAAAACTGCTAACCAGAACTCCCAAAATCTTTTTCGCTTTCCGTAATTTTAAAGATCTACATTTTTTCTTAGTTTATTGTGGCAGGTTATTGTCCTGCCCCAACATTTAGAACTTTTGCATTTGTCTATTTTAAACTGCATCTCCCAAACTTCTCCGCCCACTGCATCAGTCTATTCAAATCTTCCGGGAGTGCCGAAGGGTCCTCGTCAAAAATGAATTCGAAGGGGCCCCTTTTTGGTGTCATCCGGGAAAACTTGCCGATTTCGCTCTTTTTGCCCTCTCTTTTTGTCGTTTATGTAGATTTTTTGAAAGCAGGGATCCCAAACTGACCCCTGTTGGAAAAAACCCTCGTGACCCCTTTCCCCAAATCTGATTTCTCCCCATTTATGCCCAAAATCTCTGCTGCCTATTTTGTCAAAAAATGCCCCTATCCAGGAAAAAAAATTTTTCCTCCCATTTTCCCTGGCTTTAATTTTCCTCAATAGTCCTGATGTGGGACCCCCGTCAAAAGCCTTACGAAGTCCCTAAACACCCAAAATTCATATTCGGGTTTCCATGATTTTACCCCTCAAATACCTTAGTGAAAAAAATTAATAAATTTGTTTAAGGGAGGAACGGGCCCCTTTTTAAAACCAAAGTGAGATTCGTTGATTTTAAATTTTTGCTTTTCAAGATGGGCCCCACAAAAGCCTCGGCAATTAATTTATTCCATAAATTTTTTCCCCCTAAGGGTTAGGGTTTTTGGTCTATAGTTCGAAGCTAAGCAAACCCGCACCTGTTTTTAAAATAAGGGATCACATTTGCCATTTTTTCCCCTTATCGGACCATGCCAGTTTTTAGTGATATGTTGGGAAAAAATTTGCCCAAAAGGTTTTGCTAAGCTCCCCTTTAAAATTTCCCTTTAAAAAACCCTTGCATACAGTTATCAGGGCCTGGGGGGATTTGTTAGGTTTTAATTTATCTATTTGCCCCAAGGACCGTCACTTGTGACCCTTTAAAATGCACAGTTTATTATCGTTTCCCGTTTTTACATAATTTATCATTTTTGGGAAAATCGCTGGTACCTCCTGTGAAAAAAAAATGAGAGGGGGTATGTGTTTAAAAAAATTTACACATTTTTCCCTTAAACACTTTTCAGTGAGCTTTACCCCGAGGAACTTTTGAAATGGGGGCCCATCTTGTCCCCGATCTTTTCTTCTGTATACCTTAAAAAATCCTTTTGGGGTTTGTCTTCGATTCTTTTGCAACTTTAACCTCATAAAACTCTTTTTGCTTTTTTAAATTCCCTTTTTTATTTCTCTCTTTAACTGAATATATCGAATTTTTTTAATTGCCCCCTCCTCTTTTGATTTCCTAATTTTACCCCTCTTTTGACCAATCAGATATTTTTAAAATTTTTGTTCATCCATTTAGGATCATTTTTTTTTGATCGATTTTCCCCATTTTTGGGAAATAATTTGACTGAGCAGCTAAACTTAAAGCCCCGGGAAAAACCCTCATATCGGCAAAACCATCACCACCCCACCCGACCCTTAGTCAGGTTTATTCCAGTTCAGCCCACCTAAGTAATTTTTCAGTCCTATGAAATCAAACCAAGCGAAAGTCAGGGACGGAGAAATTTTATTTCCATTATTAGGGGGGAAATTCCCTGATATAATTTAAAAATGAGTGATTTGTGATCACTCCCCCCCAAGCTCATTTTATTAACCCAAGATTTTTAATTATGTTTCCCCCACTGGCAAGAACCAAGTCAAGGAGGGTTTTTTCCCCTTTGTTGGGGTCTGGGCACAAAAATGTTTTAAAAAAACAATCCCGGATGTATCAAAAAAGTCACCCGCTCTAAATTTCCTGTCCCAAAAGGCCCCGTCAATCTGTCTAAAGTTTAAATCTCCCATTAGCACAACATTTTCGTATGTAGAAGCCTTACGAATTTTGTCCCATAGAAGTTTTTCCTGCATTCCCCCATCAAGATTTGGGGGCCCCGTAAATCACACCCAAAATTTTTTTTTCTCGGGGCCCCCGAGAAAACTGTAACCCCAAAAAGTTTTAGTGGGTGACGCCTTTAATTTAAAATCTTTCCCAACCAAAAAATTTTTAAAATTTTCTCTGACATACATCGCACTCCCCACCTTTCCCGTTGAACCCCGTTTAGTGTGGAATAATTTATAGCCCGGGATGTGACATTCAGAGGGCAATTTTTCTATCTTTCAGATTGAGCCAGGGCTCTGTTATACAATTTAAAATCTTAAAGTTTTCCCTTTCACTTGCAATTAATTTTTTAGCTCATCTATTTATTTTTTAAAAACTCCTGCTATTTAAATATAGTAAACCTTAAGGGGGCTATTCCCCTTTCTGCCCTCGCTGTCCCCCCTTTTTTTGCGACCTGTTTTTTTTTTGTCTTTTTTTATAACTCAAAGTTGAAGCCTTTTACATTTTTGTTTTTTTAAAACCCCAGTGTTGCAAAACCCGCTTGTTTTTTCCCCCACACACCCAAACCTCTATTTTCCATCAGTTTAAAATCATAGGCATTTCCCCAAATGGCCTTCTCATCGAGTCTGCAATTGCTACCCCCCCTGACCGAGAGATGTCCCCATCCCTTGCTACATATCTGTTTGCCATAAAAGTTGTTCCAGTTGTCAATAAATGGGATTGCAATTTTCCTTGCAGTATTGTCTACCAGCAATTTACCCCAAAATTCCCTAGAAAAACCATTCTTTTCCCCTACCCCCTTTAGGCAAGATGCAAATATATTGGGATCCCCCCCTTAGACTTAATGAATCTATGCTGCCCTTACTTATCTAGCAGCTTTTTCTCTCCTACCCTTCCCCAAAATATCATTTCCACCAGCAGAACAGATAATGGGCTTGTTCCCATTCCTGACTTTTTTTTTCCCACCTGTTGACAAGCCCCAAAACACCAGCTCCGGGGAAGCACACTCTTCTCTATCTTTCTTTTTCCCTATTACAAAAAGCAGGGTATATATCTTACCTGAAGCCCACCAACCAAAGAATGCCTTACCTTCATTAGCAGGGGCAGTAGTACCCTTCCTTCACGGGCCCCACTAAAGTACATTCACCCCTGGAGAACAGAAAAGCGATTTTCCCCCTTCAATCTTCACTCTTAACTTTCCTTATTCGATGCGCCTCCCTTACTGTGAACAAATCGCCCTTGTAAGGTGCTGGGCTGCACCTCCCTGGTAGCCGTTGTACCTCCCCAACAAAACCTCCTTTCAGCGAGAACAGACTGCACCCACTGAAATTCATTCCCCACAACCCAGCCACCTCACACCCCTCCCAGACCCATTGAGGTGGACCTTCACCTCCAACTCCCCCTGAGAAGCAAAAACCTCCTCCTTAAATCTCCAACCCCAGTTTTTTAAAACACGCAGAAGCAAGCCGCTTTGTAAACCCTCCACGCAATCCCCCAAAACAGCTCAGGGTCTGTGACCCCCCGGACGACTGACCACTGACGACTGAACGACTGACCCGGGTTTATTTCCCTTAAACCCTCCCTCGTAGAAGCCCCTTTGCTCCGGGGCGTCTTTTTGCAAACCTTTGTACCTTTTGTGTGTTGGGGTGTGTGTGTGTGTGTGTGTGTGTGTGTGTGGTGTGGGGTGTGTGGTTGTTGTGTGTGTTTGTGTGTGTTGTGAGTGAGTGGGGAAAGCCCAAACAATGAACTTTATTAATATAGTTTTGATGTTTACAGTCAAATATGACCGGGAGTACACCGACTACAATGAACTTCGCTATTGGATTCACAAACATGTAAGAACAATTTTTTTTAATTCTTTCTAAGCAGACAAAGAAAAACTCTCTGAAACTCACAGTACCTGGATGCCTAGATAGACAAGCTACACAGTGGATGAATTTCAAGCTTATCTCAGTATTTTGTTACCGTTCCTATGCAGTATTTATTCACATTAAAAGAAACTTCTTCAATTAAGTTTTCCTCCTGACTGATAATGCCTGAACTTGAATCCCTGTGTTATCCTCTGCCACATTTGACCATACCTGTGTCAGTTTAACGGAGGTGTGTTTTTCTTAGCTAGGAGATAAGAGTCAGCTTGACTGGCAGTGTGTAGTTCATCAAAAAATCGTTAACAATAAATCCCCAGAAGAAAGAAACTATGATTCACAAATTATTCCAGAGAGGTACCCAGGCGCTGTATGAATCACATGAAATATTGTCTTCCTCATAAAGAATAAATAACATTTTGAAGCAGGTTGAGACATAATCTAAAAAGTAGAGCCACTTAATATGCCTATTATCAATAAAAAATAAAAAATAATTTGTTTGAAAAAACCTGCCTTTCCGATATTAAACCTTAAAGTTATAAGAAAACAGTGGATTAACATAGTTACAGGAACCTGATATATGTATAGTAACATTATGTAAATAAAACAGACAAGAATATTTTGGTTGATGACATTCCCTCACAATGAGCTTTATTAATTCAATGCAGGACATATGAGATTTATAGTATATATATATATATATATATATATATATATATATATATATATGTATATATATATATATATATATATATATATATATATATAATATATATATATATATATATATTTTATATATATATATATATATATATAATGTAATTGACACATCGACCTTCTCCCACCGAGGCAGGGTGGCCCGAGAAAAAAATCTTTCATCATTTACTCCATCACTGTCTTGCCAGAGGCACGCTTACACTGCAGTTATGAAACTGCAGCATAAACACCCTTCCTTCAGAGTGCAGGCACTGTTCTTCCCATCTCCCAGACTCAAGTCCGACCTGCTGGTTTCCCTGACTCCATAAATGATACCTGCTCACACTCCAACAGCACGACAAGTCCAAAATACATTTGTCTCCATTCACCCTTATCTAACACGCTCATGCATGCTTGCTGGAAGTCAAAGCCCTTCGCACACAAAACCTCCTTTATCCCCTTCCTCCAGCCTTTCCTAGGCCGACCCCTACCCATCCTTCCCTCCACTACAGATTTATACACTCTAGAAGCCATTCTATTCCCTTCCAACCTCTCTACATGTCCGAACCACCTCAACAACCCCTCCTCATTCCTCTGGATAATAGTTTTTGAAATCCTGCACCTCCTCCTAATTTCCAAACTACAAATTCTCTGCATTATATCCACACCACACATTGCCCTTAGACATGACATCTCCACTGCCTCCAGCCTTTTCCTTGTTGCAACATTCACTTCCCATGTTTCACATCCATATAAGAGAGTTGGTATAATTATACTCTCATGCATTCTGATATTTGCTTCCATGGACAAAGTTCTATGTCTCCATAGACTCCCAAGTGCACCACTCACCTTTTTCACCTCGTCTTTCATAGACCCATCTGCTGACACATCCACTCCTAAATATCTGAATACATTCACCTCCTGCATACTCTCTCCCTCCAATCTGATATCCAATCTTTCGTCACCTTATTTTTTTGTTATCCTCATCACCTTACTCTTTATTATATTCACCTTTACCTTTCTTCTTTTACAATCTCTTCCAAACTCATCCACCAACCTCTGCAACTTCTCTTCGGAATCTCCCAAAAGCACAGTGTCATCAGCAAAGAGCAACTGTGACAACTCCCATTTTGTGTTAGATTCTTAATTTTAACCCCACACCTCTTGCCAACACCCTAGCATTCACTTATCTTACATCCCCATCTATAAATATATTAAACAACCATGGTGATATCACACATCTTTGTCTATGGCCTACTTTTACTGGGAAATAATCTCCCTCTCTCTCCTACAGTGCGTGTCACGGCATTATGCCAGATGAGTGTCCCTGCTTAAGGCAGTGACGAAAATCAAAGGCCTACCATGCAGAGTGGTCTTTTTTCGTCAGTGCATTATGCCGGGTAGCAGCCATTTGCATGACGTTACAGCCTGCTGCCACACTCAACAATGACTCCTCAGTGCTCACGTGGCTGCCATAGTGAGAGAAAGTGTTGCACTTCTTTCTCTCATCCACCCCATCTTTTGTCTGGTGTTCCCTTTGGTTTTGGGGCTATACATGTTTCATTCCTTTTATGAAGTCTTGAACACTTGAAACTATAACTCAAATCGTAGGGCTTCACAAAGTTGTGCACCAGACGAAATAAATAGTAGAGAATGTTGGTGTGTGTGAGCGTTAAGTGAGGAACTGGGTGCAGCATTTCAAGGCTGGTGGCGGTGTCGAGTTACCGTCTGCCAAACCTCGGCCTGGCCCCTTGAAGAAGACATCTGTTCGTACCTTAACTGTGTTAAAGAAGCAGTTAGAGAGTACCCCTAAGATAATTACTAGAGAATTGAAAGAAAAGAACCCACATCTTCTCTTAGAGGTGTCTGTAAGAATTGTTAACAGATGTGTATCAGAACTGGGCTGCAGTCATCACCGCCAGGTTAAGAAACCAATCCTCTCCAATCCACAGAAGAAACGTAGGCTGGATTATGCAAAGAAATATCTTCACTGGAATCCTCAACAGCGGTCTGAAGTACTTTGGAGTGATGAAACAGCCTTCACTGTCACCGGTAACCATGGTGAACATGTGTACCGGCCCAGAGATAGTGACCCGCTAGAGCACGTTACACCTGTGGGACCACCAAACACCCAGACTTGCTCATGGTTTGGGAGTGTTTCAGTGCTCAGAGTGTTGGTAAACTCATTGTGCTTACCAAAAACCAGTATATGAACCAGTATAATTACCTGGAGTTATTGTGTGACAATTTACCTGAGGCGTTTGACAAGTGTGGGGCTATAGTTTTTATGCAGGACCGTGGCCCGGGTCATACAGCCAAATCTGTAGTTCATTGGCTTAAGGACTGTGAAGTGAAGTTCTTGAATGACTGGCCAGGCAATTCCCCAGACCTAAATCCTATTGAGAACCTCTAGTCAATAGTGAAATGAAGTTAACTGGGCAAGGATATCAGTTTCATCCCACGGCTGGATGTTGCTCTAAATGAGGCATCAAATAATATACTTCCCCAAACCCTCAAGAATTTGTGTGAGACTTCCTACGCGGCTGAGGGACGTAATTATGCGTGAAGGACACAGCACCAAGTATTAAAACCTCAGTATGTGTGCAAATATATATATTATAATCTTTCATGGTATGTGTTTGTGCTTTGGTACGTGTGTGGGGGAGGGGCGGCATAACGCCGTGGCGATCACTGTATATACACTAACCTGAGCCTCATTATCCTCGTAAAAACTCTTCGCTGCTTTCAGGAACCTACCTCATATTCCATATATTTGCAACATCTGCCACATTGCCTTTTCCAAATCCATAAATGCCATAGAAATCTCTTTACCCATATCTAAATACTGTTCACCTATATGTTTCATTGTAAACACTTGGTCTACACACTTGGTCTACTCCTGTTCACCTGCTGTCCTACTCTCCGTCATACTCTTAATTCTCTCAATAATAACTCTACCGTACATTTTACCAGTTATACTCAACAGACTTATTCAACTATATTTTTGCACTCGTGGAAACAGTAATTTGTATTTCTATATAATATATTTATATTAATATGACAATCCCACCCAAAATCCTTTGCTTCAGATGGCATGACCTGACGATAAACAATATCTACGAACCTTCCAATGATGTGGTAGCTGCGGTGCAGAGTCTAAATCGTAGTGCAAACTCTAACTGCACCTTCCTCAGCGTGACGAACAGTGATCAGTGGGTCCTCACTCCTGCCTCCATCAACACAACCTTTACGTACGCCATCTGCGAGTTCCGTGGTCCTCTAGGTAAGATAGGTGCTTTTGATGATAATGATTATGGGTGGGTCGTTGTAGTGTGTAGGTTGATTAGAGGGTGACGCTTTTGATAGGAGGTAGATGACATTTTCAGCCCAAACTAACCTCTCTCTCTCTCTCTCTCTCTCTCTCTCTCTCTCTCTCTCTCTCTCTCTCTCTCTCTCTCTCTCTCTCTCTCTCTCTCTCTCTCTCTCTCTCTCTCTCTCTCTCTCTCTCTCTCTTTCTCTCTCTCTCTCTCTCTCTCTCTCTCTCTCTCTCTCGCAAATAGCAACAGAGTAATGGTCGATACACTAGCCGAGGTGGCCAGGAGAGCACACATGGGGGGAGCAAAGTTACTAGTTATGGGTGATTTCAATCACAAGGAGATTGACTGGGAAAACCTGGAGCCCCATGGGGGTCCCGAAACATGGAGAGCCAAGATGATGGATGTGGTACTGGAAAACCTCATGCATCAACATGTTAGAGACACTACCAGAGAGAGAGGAGAGGATGAACCAGCAAGACTGGACCTTGTATTCACCTTGAGTAGTTCTGACATCGAGGATATCATGTATGAAAGGCCCCTGGGAGCTAGTGATCATGTGGTTCTGTGCTTCGACTACATAGTTGAGCTCCAAGTGGAGAGAGCAGCAGGAATAGGGTGGGAAAAACCAAACTACAAAAGGGGAAACTACTCAGGCTTGAGGAACTTCTTTCAAGACATTCAGTGGGAGAGGGAACTGACAGGAAAACCAGTACAAGAAATGATGAACTATGTGGCAACAAATGCAAGGAGGCAGAGGAGAGGTTTGTTCCCAAGGGAAACAGAAATAACTGGGAAGAACAGAACGAGTCCTTGGTTCACCCCAAAAGGGGTAGGGAGGCAAAAACTAGGTGTACTAGAGAATGGAAAAGGTACAGAAGACAGAGAACTCAGGAAAATAAAGAGATTAGCCGAAGAGCCAGAAACGAATATGCACAGATAAGAAGGGAGGCTCAGCGGCAATACGAAAATGACATAGCATCGAAAGTCAAGACTGACCCGAAGCTGTTGTACAGCCACATCAGGAGGAAAACAACAGTCAAGGACCAGGTAATCAGACTGAGGAAGGGTGATGGGGAATTCACAAGAAACGACCGGAGGTATGTCAGGACCTCAACACAAGATTTAAAAAGTATTTACGGTGGAAACCAGTAGGATCCAGGAAATCAGAGCAGGGGGGTGCACCAGCAAGTGCTGGATGAGGTACATATAACCAAGGTAGGAGGTGAAGAAGCTGCTATGCGAACTTGACACCTCAAAGGCGGTGGGACCAGACAACATCTCTCCGTGGTTCCTTAAAGAGGGAGCAGAGATTTTGTGTGTACCGTTAACAAAGATCTTCAACACATCATTTGAAACTGGGCAACTCCCCGAGGTATGGAAGATGGCAAATGTAGTCCCAATTTTTAAAAAGGGAGACAGACATGAGGCACTAAACTACAGACCTGTATCACTAACGTGTATAGTATGCAAGGTCATGGAGAAGTCATCAGGAGGGGAGTGGTGGAGCACCTGGAAAGAAACAAGTGTATAATTGACAACCAGCATGGTTTCAGGGAGGGAAAATCCTGTGTCACAAACCTACTAGAGTTTTATGACAAGGTGACAGAAGTAAGACAAGAGAGAGAGGGGTGGATCGACTGCATTTTTTTTTGGACTGCAAGAAGGCCTTCGACACAGTTCCTCACAAGAGGTTTACTGCAAAAGCTAGAGGATCAGGCACACATAACAGGAAAGGCACTGCAATGGATCAGAGAATACCTGACAGGGAGGCAACAACGAGTCATGGTACGTGACGAGGTGTCAGAGTGGGCGCCTGTGACAAGCGGGTTCCACAGGGGTCAGTCCTAGGACCTGTGCTGTTCTTGGTATATGTGAATGACATAACGGAAGGGATAGACTCAGAAGTGTCCTTGTTTGCGGACGATGTGAAGTTAATGAGAAGAATCAAATCGGATGAGGATCAGGCAGGACTACAAGAGACCTGCACATGCTACAAGCCTGGTCCAGCAACTGGCTCCTTGAGTTTAACCCTGCCAAATGCAAAGTCATGAAGATTGGGGAAGGGCAAAGAAGACCGCAGCACAATATAGTTTAGACGGCCAAAGTCTGCAAACCTCACTCAAGGAAAAAGATCTGGGGGTGAGTATAACACCGAGCATATCTCCCGAGGGCACATCAATCAGATAACTGCTGCAGCATACGGGCGCCTGGCAAACCTACGGATAGCGTTCCGATCCTCAGTAAGAATCGTTCAAGACTCTGTATACCATTTACGTCAGGGCCCATACTGGAGTATGCAGCACCAGTTTGGAATCCACACCTAGTCAAGCACGTCAAGAAATTAGGAAAGTGCAAAGGTTTGCAACAAGACTAGTCCCAGAGCTACGGGGATTGTCCTACGAAGAAAGGTTGAGGGAAATCGGCCTGACGACACTGGAGGCCAGGAGGGTCAGGGGAGACATGATAACGACATATAAAATACTGCACGGAATAGACGAGGTGGACAAAGACGGGATGTTCCAGAGATGGGACACAGACACAAGAGGTCACAATTGGAAGTTGAAGACTCAGATGAATCAAAGGGATGTTAGGAAGTATTTCTTCAGTCATAGAGTGGTCAAGCCGTGGAATAGCCTAGAAAGTGAAGTAGTGGAGGCGGGAACCATAAATAGTTTTAAGGCGAGGTATGATAAAGCTCATGGAGCAGGGAGAGAGAGGATCTAGTAGCAATCAGTGAAGAGGCGGGGCCATGAGCTATGATTCGACCACTGCAACCACAAATAGGTGAGTACACGGAGAAAGACGCCCGGCAAACCTGTGAATAGCTTTCCGATACCGTAATAAGAAATCGTTGAAGACACTGTATACCGTGTACGTCAGGCTCATACTGGAGTATGCAGCACCAGTTTGGAACTCACACCTGGTGAAGCACGCCTAGAAGTTAGAGAAAATGCAAAGGTTTGCGACAAGGTTTGTTCCAAAGCTAAGGGGAATGTCCTGCGAAGAAAGGTTAAGGGAAATGAGGCCTAACAACACTGGAGGACAGGAGGGTTAGGGGAGACATGATAACGACATACAAAATACTGCGTGGAATAGACAAGGTGGACAGAGACAGGATGTTCCAGAGAGGAGACACAGAAACAAGGGCTCACTTGGAAGTTGAAGACTCAGATGAGTCAAAGGGATGTTAGGAAATAATTCTTTAGTCATAGAGTAGTCAGGAAGTGGAATAGCCTAGCAAGTGAAGTAGTGGAGGCAGGAACCATACATAGCTTTAAGATGAGGTATGATAAAGCTTATGGAGCATTATTATTATTATAATCAAAGGGGAAGCGCTAAACCCGGAGGATTATACAGCGCCTCGGGGGGGGGGGGATGTGGAAGGCATTCAGGCTTAATTTGGGGAACCGGAGCACAGATCCAATTCCCTAAATCAAGAGCCCTTCACCAACATCAAGGAACCTTCCTTGAGGGGAGCTTGTGGAGCAGCTAGCCGGGGATCGAACCCGTGTTGTTTCAGCCCGCCTCGTGGGAAGAGCGAAATTTCACGACGCCCTAAACCACTGGATCATGAAACCCTACAAACAACATGAGCCTAGCGAGTTAGACTTGCTTCATGTTGCGAGAGATATGGTACCCTGCACCATATGGTACCCTGCACCGTATGGTACCCTGCACCATATGGTACCCTGCACCATATGGTACCCTGCACCATATGGTACCCTGCACCATATGGTACCCTGCACCATATGGTACCCTGCACCATATGGTACCCTGCACCATATGGTACCCTATACCATGTAGTACAATGTACCATATGGTACCCTATACCATATAGTACGGTGTACCATGTGGTACCCTATACCATATAGTACAATGTACCATATGGTATGCTGTAACATATGATACCATGTACCATATGGTCAGTTGGAGATGTTGCCGCCACCTGGTCATTTTGGGTCAACTTCCCGCCGCTGTATCTCTGTAAGTACTGATCAGAAAACTTTTTGTTTTGTTTTATTACCTTCACAAAAATATTATCTTTAATTCTGTAAGATTTTTTTTTTTTTTTTTAAATTTCTTGGACACTGGGGCACCCCTTCAGATTTTGGCCTTGGACCCTGAGAGAGTTAAATGGAGAGTTAGAGGTATCGGGAAGATGGAGGGAATATTTTGAGGAATTGTTAAATGTTGAGGAGATAGGGAAGCTGTGATTTCGTGTATAGGGAAAGGAGGAATAACATCTTGTAGGAGTGAGGAAGAGCCAGTTGTGAGTGTGGGGGAAGTTCGTGAGGCAGTAGGTAAAATGAAAGAGAGGTAAGGCAGCTGGGTTTGATGGGATAAAGATAGAAATGTTGAACATTAAAATGGTATAAAATACCGACAGGTTGTTAGGTAAGACACATATGCAACAGTTAGGTATCTTTATTGTGAAACGTTTCGCCTACACAGTAGGCTTCTTCAGTCAAGTACAGGAAAGGTTGATAGAAGCAGAAGATACTTGAAGACGATGTAATCAGTCCATCACCCTTAAAGTTTTGAGGTGGTCAGTCCCTCAGTCTGGAGAAGAGCATTGTTCCATAGTATGAAACAATATGGAGAAGAAGTGACAGGATGGAGCTTTTATAGCGCCAAGAGGTGAGACGTAGGAGAGGTAAGAACTCTCCTACGTCTCACCTCTTGGCGCTATAAAAGCTCCATCCTGTCACTTCTTCTCCATATTGTTTCATACTATGGAACAATGCTCTTCTCCAGACTGAGGGACTGACCACCTCAAAACTTTAAGGGTGATGGACTGATTACATCGTCTTCAAGTATCTTCTGCTTCTATCAACCTTTCCTGTACTTGACTGAAGAAGCCTACTGTGTAGGCGAAACGTTTCACAATAAAGATACCTAACTGTTGCATATGTGTCTTACCATAGAAATGTTAAAAGCAGGTGGGGATATAGTTTTGGAGTAGTTGGTGTTATTATTTAATAAATGTATGGAAGAGGGTAAGGTACCTAGGGATTAGCAGAGAGCATGCATAGTTCCTTTGTATAAAGACAAAGGGGATAAATAACAAAAAGGCACAATACCGTGACTTGCCGACACTAACAATGCTCTTTTCTGTCACGTCAGAGATCATAGCCATCCTATTGACTGGTCTTCTGCTAAAACTGTCTTCCCTACTTCCAACTCGAACAGTCGCCGTCTAGTTGAATCCTCTCTAATACACAACTTTCCTTGTATGAACCTTAGCCCTGGCTTCGTCTCTGTAGATGCCTTCCTCTCCCACTACATTGTAAAATGCTCCAAACTTCAGAACACCCGTGACTTAACCTGAATCCTCATTTTTTCTTTTTCTTCTTCTTCTTCTTTTTCTTCTTCCTCTTCCCCTTTCCTCTCTCCTTTTCTCCTCTGGGTTGTCTTTCTCTCTCCAGTCTCGTGTTTCTGTTCCTTCTTCATTTATTTTATTTCACCACTTCCCCTTTCACGCACCTCGGTGCGCTTGCTCTCCCTCTGTGGGTTTCTAGCTCTCTTGCAGTGCTCCCCTTCCTTTGTATTTGACTGGCTCGTCTTCCTTATTTCCCACTTCTACCCCTACCACTACTACTGCCTCTTCTTCTTCCACTACAACTACTGATGAAATTAAGACACATGTGCGGCGTCTGGTTCTGTTTGTTGTGGACGCTTCGCCATCCAGTGGCTGGCGAAACGTCTACGATGGGGATGCCCGGGTGTTGTGTATGTGTCTTAATTTCAACCTGTCGGTATTATATACAATTCTTGTACTACTACTACTACAACTACTGATGAAATTAAGACACATGTGCGGCGTCTGGTTGTGTTTGTTGTGGACGTTTCGCCATCCAGTGGCTGGCGAAACGTCTACGATGGGGATGCCCGGGTGTTGTGCATGTGTCTTAATTTCATCCTGTCGGTATTATATACAATTCTTGTACTACTACTACTACCTCCACCTCTTCCTGCCTATATATAGCCGTTCTGCTCCACCTCTGTTAGTGTGACTTTGTCAATGGTCCAAGTCGGACCGAAACGTCGTCGTAAGTTTCTCTCTTTTATGTGCGGGTTATTTGTGTACAAAGGGGATAAAAGAGAGTGCAAAAATTAAGGGGGAATATGTCTGTTGAGTATACCTGGTAAAGTGTATGGTAGAGTTATTATTGAAAGAATTAAGAGTAAGACAGAGAGTAGGATAGCAGATGAACAAGGAGGCTTTAGGAAAGGTAGGGGGTGTGTAGACCAACTGTTTGCAGTGAAACATATAGGTGAACAGTATTTAGAGTATTTAGGAGAAGGTGAGGGATTACCAAAACTATTATCCAGAGGGCTGAGGAGGGGTTGAGGTGGTTCGGACTTGTAGAGAGAATGGAACAAAACAGAATGACTTTGAGAGTGTATAAATCTGTAATGGAGGGAAGGTGGGGTAGGGGGCCCTAGGAGGGTTGGAGGGAGGGGGTAATCGAGGTTTTGTGTGCAAGGGGGTTGGACTTCCAGTAAGCTTGCGTGAGCGTATTTGATAGGAGTGAATAGAGACAAATGGTTTTTAATACTTGACGTGCTGTTGGAGTGTGAGTAAAGTAACATTTATGAAGGGGTTCAGGGAAACCGGCAGGCCGGACTTGAGTCCTGGAGATGGGAAGTACAGTGCCTGCACTCTGAAGGAGGGGTGTTAATGTTGCAGTTTTATAACTGGAGTGTAAAGCACCCCTCTGGCAAAACAGTGATGGAATAAACGATGATGAAAGCTTTTCTTTTTCGGGCCACCCTGCCTTGGTGGGAATCGGCTAATGTGTTAATAAAAAAAAATTCCTTGCTGTCATTCTTCAACATTTTATGTATTAGTTTTCCTTGCTGAAGTGTTTCCTTCTCCAAACATTTTTATAGTAGTAAATGGATATTACAGGTACCATCCGACTTACGACCAAGTTCAGCTCCAACCAACCGGTCGTAAGTCAAAATGGACATAAGTCGAACCTTACTACTGAATATCAACATCATATTTTTGTAATGACTTTATTTTATTGTTTTATTTTGGTATTTCATTTTTTACTTTTCTTTTTATGCTGTTAGTACTGTATTTTATACACTAAGGTTTAGAATAAACACTGTGTACAACACAAATAGTTGTTTATTTCCCAGAAATTTGGCATACAATACAGTGTTGTAAAGTCGAATGGTCGTATGTCGAGCAGGTCGTAAGTCTGATAGTAGGTGTATATTCCTGAAATTGTAATGTCACAATTCTAAACAAACTACAGAACAGGTGGGGTTTGAACCCTTGTCAAGTGGCTTACACACTGGCCTGGAGTTTTAGGGCTCACCAGCCATGGGTTCAAACCCCACCTGTTCCATGGTTTGGATATTATATTTATGAGTACTTTTTCCAGTGTAACATTAACCCCCTTGAGAGTCATTGTCATAGTTCTACAGTTTTAAACTCTAGGTAAGTGCTGCAGAACTCTAGGTAAGTGCTGCAGAACTCTAGGTAAGTGCTGCAGAACTCTAGGTAAGTGCTGCAGAACTCTAGGTAAGTGCTGCAGAACTCTAGGTAAGTGCTGCAGAACTACATCATAGGTTCATCTCACTCAAATAAGCTGTGAGTGGTAAATTTTGGCCTAGATATGAAAGAATGGGTCTGTGTGGTAGCTTTAGGTGTGGTGTAGCTTTAGGTAGAGGTCGTTTTGATAAGGACCTGCCTCGCATGGGCCAGTAGGCCTTCTGCAGTGTTCCTACATGTTCTTATGTTCTTATGAGATATGATGGTGTGGTTGCCTCAGAGCTAAGATCATTCTACTCCCCCTTTGGTGTACAGGTGTTGTGATGTATAGGCTTGTAGACTTTATTCTCGAATTACTAAGCTACTTAAATTACGTCTTTAACTTCATTTAACTATTTACTTATACAACAGACTCAATATTAATCTATGAACATTCTACTATATAATTAATCATTTGATTAAAACAGTGGTAGTTGAAAGTTTGACAAGCCTGCATGCAGGCAAGTATCATATTACTGCCTCTCCCCCCCTTTCAACCTCATAACGTTTTCACCCCCCACTCCTCAAACGTTTAAATATTGAGAAATCGGTTATATTTTTTTATTTTCCATACGGTTCTTTATCGCATCACAGTACTGTGGGTGACAAGGTCCTTTATCACAATACAGTAGGTCACAAGGTTCTCTGTTACACCACAGTGGGTCACAAAATCTTCTATAACAACTCAGTGGGTCACAAGATTCTCTGTTACAACACAGTGAATCACATAGTCCTTTATCATGACACAGTGAGTCATAAGGTCTTCTATTACAACACAGTGAGTCACGTGAGTCACGGAGTTCTCTAGCATAACACAGTGGGTCACAAGTACCTCAGTGACAATACAGTGGGTCACAAGGTTCTCTGTAACAAAAATGGTCCATAATTTCCTCTTTGGAAAATTGAAGAGTCAGATTCCTGAGAGCTGCAGTTAATATCTTATTCTGTTTTTCTCTGACAGGATGCTGGGACGACACTCCTTATTACGAGAACTTTTCGGTGAATGGGAACTTACCTGGTAACACCGTCAATCAAAGGCTGAATTACAGGTGAGCTGTGCACATTATAGTACTGGTGAGCAAAATCTGTTCATTGTGAAGTAAAGGGATGTTATACATATTTAGTTCATGTTATTTTTTTTATTAACACATCGGCCGTCTCCCACCGAGACAGGGTGGCCCAAAAAAGAAAATCTTTCGCCATCATTCACTCCATCACTGTCCTGCCAGAGGCATGCTGACACTAAAGTTATAAAATTGCAACATTAACACCCCTCGGTTAGAGTGCAGGCACTGTGCTTCCCATCTCCAGGACTCATATCCGGCCTGCCGGTTCCCTGAATCCCTTCATAAATATTACCTTCCTCACACTCCAACAGCACGTCAAGTCCTAAAAACTATTTGTCTCCATTTGCTCGTATCTAACACACTCACGCAAGCTTGCTGGAAGTCCAAGCCCCTCACACACAGAAACTTCCTTTACACCCTCCCTCCAACCTTTCCTAGGCCGACCTCTACCCCACTTTCCCTCCACTACAGATTTATACACTCTTGAAGTCATTGTATTTTGTTCCATTCTCTCTACATGTTCAAACCACCTCAACCCCTCCTAAGCCCTCTGGATAATAGTTTTGGTAATTCCGCACCTCCTCCTATTTTCCAAACTACAAATTCTTTGCATTATATTTACACCACACATTGCCCTCAGACATGACATCTCCACTGCCTCCAGTGGAGGCACATATAAGAGTCTTCGTATAATTATACTCTCATACATTACCCTCTGTGCTTCCATGGACAACATTCTTCGTCTCCACAGACTCCTAAGTTCACCACTCACCTTTTCCTCCCTCGTCAGTTTTATAATTCACTTCATCTCTTATCAAATTCCTCTCGAAAATTTTATTAATGTTGTATTATCTATTTTTGGGTGGGTATATAGAGCTTGTGTATATTAAAAACAAATTTATGGTAAAGTTTTGATCTGGGCATAAAATAAATGTCGATGAAAAGTCATTTGAATTCTGAAATTTTTGCTCCTCTAAGAAAATACTACTGAATAAATTGTGAATGTGTGGTGAAAATGATGGAATACAGTAAAAAAAATAATGTTTTGGTTAAAAATTTATAAACTGGTGTTATTTTTTGGGCAACCAAACACAAGGGTAAACTTCTGAAGATATTGCGTATTATGTTGCAGCTGCTGGCCCGGGTACTACGTGAACGGTGTCGTAGGTAGCGAGTGGTCTCAGTATCTCTGGTGTTATGGTCAGCTGGGCGGCTGGTTCCCCAGACAACCACCTCTCGATCCCTGTATAGGTATTGATGGTAAGTCTCAAGAATAATTGCGTTGATACTCTCTCTCTCTTTACACTAAGTTCTACAAGGTTAGGTTTAGGGTTTCTAATTTTATTTACAAATAAAGAGCTCTTATCTACATCAGCTCATTTGAAAGCCTTCTTATTGTTAAAACATATGTAAGTAGTGAATAGGATGAAGTTATAGCAATCTGTGGGGTCAGCGATTACATTTGGTCATCTGATTTTATTTCACTGATGTCATTAAACAGTACGAACGTGTTCAAGACTAGAGATATATTAGAAATAAATAATCTCTAACGAATTGATGTTCTGGAGAAGGTTACAGAGTGTAGTTGCTGTTTGTTTCCCGTCTAGTTGTGTAGAACCTCTCTTCTCGTTGTCCTCACAATGGAGCTAAGTGTGGTACTTTGACAATATTGGTCCTGTACATAAAGTAAGGCCACCCACAGTTCTGCTGACATGACAGATCTGTCCAGGCAGGGTCCAGGCGAGAAATGAGCCATCTTGCTCTATTCTCTGTTCTGTCAAGAAGTCGCAGATGAGGCGGGGACCTGCAATCCAAGAAAATGGAACACACTCTAGGTATGAGTGAACGTGTTTCTTGTACAGAACCTTGCATCATCTACTGCCCAGCATATGCGAGATACATCTAAGTGCTGTTAGCTCCTTGGCCACTTTGCAAGGTTTACAACGTGATTCTTCAGAGTCAGTTTGAGTCAAATTACACCCTAACGATATCACCTTCGTCCCAGGGTACTAACACTCTTCCGTTCATTCTTACCACTGCTCCAGCATTACCCTCATGGTGCCTAGATACCATCATCATTTGTGTTTTCTCTGGAGCAATTGTGACCTGCCATCATTTTCTATCTTACATGTTGTGACAGTAATTAGAACACTTGGGTTCCAGGCATTTAAAATTTGCAAGGCCTCTTGTTCTGTATAAACAAATTGCAATAGCTTTTAGGATAATAACCAAATAGTGAACATAATCTTGCAGTTTTGGGATGAGAAGTAATTACAGTAGAAAAAGTTCGCAAGATTAGGATAAAATTATGTTGGAGAGGGAAAGAGAGAGAGGTGCAGTTGAGAGTAGACTTCAGTCAATGTGGAGGTGGCCAGCCAATGAAGAAGTGATGTCTTCACACACTGATGATCACTTAATAATTCCTGTGAGTAGGTTTCTTTCTAATGAAAGTAATAAATACGACCACAATGAGTCACTGATACTCTGTCTGTCCCTGTCTGTCTTTTACATAGTGTTTAACAAGATTTGGAAGGATTCCTAACTTTATTTCCAAGCTAAGATCTGTTACCTACATCAGTTCATTTAAAAGCCTTTTTAGTGTTATGAGACATACAAATAGGAAACAGGATGAAGTTGGAACCATCTGTGGGCCAGCAATTTCGTTTGATCAACTGCCTTTATTTCTCTGATATCATTATGCAGTACGAACATGTTCAGACTCGAGTCATCCTAGGAATAATTAATATCAGATGTAGCAATGTTCTGAAGAAGGGTACACTCGAGTAAAGTTGCTGCTTGCTACCTTCCCTGTTGTGTAGAATCTCACTTCTCGCTGTCCTCGGAGTGGAGCCAAATGTGATATTTTGGAATATTGGCATTGTACATAACAGTAAGGCCACCCACATTCCTCCGGTGTTGAAGATTCTGGTGAAATGACAGATCTATCCAGACTGGGCCCAGGCTAGAGGTGAGGTAGCTTGCTCTGTTCTCTACTCTGTCAAGAAGTCGCAGATGAGATGGAGGGCAGGCAATCCAAGAAAGTAGAGCATACTCCAGGTGTGAGCATATTTGTGCCTTATACAGAATCTTGCAACCTCTGTAGAGCAGAAACGAGATACGTCGAAATGCTGTAAGCTTCCTGGCTGTTTTGTTTGCAAGATTTACAATGCGATTCTTCATGGTCAGTTTGGAGTCAAATTTCACTCCAAGGATACCAGCTTCGTTCCCATGTACCATCACTCTCCCATTCATACTTACTACTGCTCCAGCGATCCCGTCATAGTTCATAAAGACCATCATTTGTGTTTTCTCTGGAGCAAATGTTACCTTCCATCGGTTTTCCCAGTGTGATATACCTCTTAGCTGGTGACTGATGTAGCTTAGAGCAGCTGGCATTTCCTTTCTTGGGTAAGTAAATGTCAGTGTGCAGTCCTGTGCATATGCATGGGATTCTGGGTTGAGATGAAGGTCATTGAACTAGACATTCCATAACAATGGCCCAAGCACACTTCCCTGTGGAACCCTTACCCCAGTAGGATGTCTTGCTGACTCTGCTCCACTGAGAACTGTACACAGAGATCTACCTTGAAGGAAATAACTGAGGAGACATAGTGTAGAGCCTGCAGTTCCCAGTGCTTGCAGTTTTGCCAAGAGTCACTGGTGCCAGAGTTAAAGATCGAGACACTTATGCAATATATGGGTATCTTTATTGAAAAAATGTTTCGCCTCACACTGGCTTCATCAGTCCAGTACAAAGCAGAAAGGTGTAAATAGAGTAGGATTGTCCCAATCTTCAACATGTTGGTTTCAAAACCATTTATCACATCTGTCAGACACTGCAACAGCATTGGATCTTGATACAAGGAATTCTTCAACACTTGTCCAACCTTTATACGAAGACCTACTTACACTAATGAATGGTTCTACTGTGATCCCGCCTCCTCCTGCTTCGACTCACCTGACTACAGTATATAAGCCACTTCTCCGCCCTATGCTGTACTTCCTACAAGAGTGATGGACTGAACATATCGATTCCAGGCTGAGGGACTGATTACCTCAAACTCCTCCTCTACTTACACCTTTCTGCACTGTATTGTTCTGATGAAGCCATTATGTGGCGAAACGTTTCTTCAATGAAGATTCCTATATGTTGCATAAGTGTCTCAATCTTCAACTTGTTGGTTTTCAAATCCATTTATCACACCTTAAGACTTTATTTTTTATCCCCATTATTAATTCCAATCTACAACTTATGCACTTTGGTCATGTCTCCCCTTCTTCTTCGTCATACTAGTGAATGTAATTCAAGTGACTTCAATCTTTCTTCGTACGGAAGATTTCAAATGCTATGATTTAATTTTATCATTCTTCGCTGAATGTTTTCTAACGAATTTATATCCATTCTATAATATGGAGACCAGAACTGAGCTGCGAAATCTAAGTGTTGTATAAACCGCTGGACTTCTTTTGCTTACACTTCTTGATATAAATCCCAATAATCTACTTCCCTTATTACGTACGCCAACTAGTAGGTGTATTTTTTGATTTCGTATGAAAACAAATAAGTAAATTATACCCAACTAAGAGCACCGGTCCAGATAACATCCCGAATAAGTTCCTAGAAGATGGCGCCTCTGAATTCCTAATCCCCATTGCACACATAATCAGTATGTCCATCGCCACAAATACCGTTCTGGAGGGGCTCAAGGAGGCCAGAGTTACTCCTATCCTCAAGAAAAATAGTAGGTCTGATGTCAGCAACTATAGGCCTGTTAGTATACCCAGTGTGATAACCAAAATTCTAGAGAAGGCGGTGTACTGTCAAGTAGTTAATTATCTTAATGACGAAAACATTCTTCACAGTTACCAGTCAGGTTTTTGGAGATCTTATTCATCCGACACCACAATATATTATGTAAGCATGACTCGCGAAATCGTAATGACACGATTGCAAACAAACCAAACCACGGGTGGAGCTTGAACCCGCGGTCATAGAGTCTGGAGTTTTGAGACTCTCTGACCGCGGGTTCAAACCCCACCCGTGGTATGGTTTATATTTTGTAAGAAACTACAAGCTATCGGCATAGGTTCCGTAGACTGGTTTAAGTCCTACCTGCGCAACAGGAAACTAATTATCAAGATCAACAACACAGAATCTGAACCCTTTCCAATAACATGTGAGGTTCCCCAAGGTAGTATAACATGTGAGGTTCCCCAAGGTAGTATAACATGTGAGGTTCCCCAAGGTAGTATAACATGTGGAGGTTCCCCAAGGTAGTATAACATGTGAGGTTCCCCAAGGTAGTATAACATGTGAGGTTCCCCAAGGTAGTATAACATGTGAGGTTCCCCAAGGTAGTATAACATGTGAGGTTCCCCAAGGTAGTATAACATGTGAGGTTCCCCAAGGTAGTATAACATGTGAGGTTCCCCAAGGTAGTATAACATGTGAGGTTCCCCAAGGTAGTATAACATGTGAGGTTCCCCAAGGTAGTATAACATGTGAGGTTCCCCAAGGTAGTATAACATGTGAGGTTCCCAAGGTAGTATAACATGTGAGGTTCCCCAAGGTAGTATAACATGTGAGGTTCCCCAAGTAGTATAACATGTGAGGTTCCCCAAGGTAGTATAACATGTGAGGTTCCCCAAGGTAGTATAACATGTGAGGTTCCCCAAGGTAGTATAACATGTGAGGTTCCCCAAGGTAGTATAACATGTGAGGTTCCCCAAGGTAGTATAACATGTGAGGTTTCCCCAAGGTAGTATAACATGTGAGGTTCCCCAAGGTAGTATAACATGTGAGGTTCCCCAAGGTAGTATAACATGTGAGGTTCCCCAAGGTAGTATAACATGTGAGGTTCCCCAAGGTAGTATAACATGTGAGGTTCCCCAAGGTAGTATATAACATGTGAGGTTCCCCAAGGTAGTATAACATGTGAGGTTTCCCCAAGGTAGTATAACATGTGAGGTTCCCCAAGGTAGTATAACATGTGAGGTTCCCCAAGGTAGTATAACATGTGAGGTTCCCCAAGGTAGTATAACATGTGAGGTTCCCCAAGGTAGTATAACATGTGAGGTTCCCCAAGGTAGTATAACATGTGAGGTTCCCCAAGGTAGTATAACATGTGAGGTTCCCCAAGGTAGTATAACATGTGAGGTTCCCCAAGGTAGTATAACATGTGAGGTTCCCCAAGGTAGTATAACATGTGAGGTTCCCCAAGGTAGTATAACATGTGAGGTTCCCCAAGGTAGTATAACATGTGAGGTTCCCCAAGGTAGTATAACATGTGAGGTTCCCCAAGGTAGTATAACATGTGAGGTTCCCCAAGGTAGTATAACATGTGAGGTTCCCCAAGGTAGTATAACATGTGAGGTTCCCCAAGGTAGTATAACATGTGAGGTTCCCCAAGGTAGTATAACATGTGAGGTTCCCCAAGGTAGTATAACATGTGAGGTTCCCCAAGGTAGTATAACATGTGAGGTTCCCCAAGGTAGTATAACATGTGAGGTTCCCCAAGGTAGTATAACATGTGAGGTTCCCCAAGGTAGTATAACATGTGAGGTTCCCCAAGGTAGTATAACATGTGAGGTTCCCCAAGGTAGTATAACATGTGAGGTTCCCCAAGGTAGTATAACATGTGAGGTTCCCCAAGGTAGTATAACATGTGAGGTTCCCCAAGGTAGTATAACATGTGAGGTTCCCCAAGGTAGTATAACATGTGAGGTTCCCCAAGGTAGTATAACATGTGAGGTTCCCCAAGGTAGTATAACATGTGAGGTTCCCCAAGGTAGTATAACATGTGAGGTTCCCCAAGGTAGTATAACATGTGAGGTTCCCCAAGGTAGTATAACATGTGAGGTTCCCCAAGGTAGTATAACATGTGAGGTTCCCCAAGGTAGTATAACATGTGAGGTTCCCCAAGGTAGTATAACATGTGAGGTTCCCCAAGGTAGTATAACATGTGAGGTTCCCCAAGGTAGTATAACATGTGAGGTTCCCCAAGGTAGTATAACATGTGAGGTTCCCCAAGGTAGTATAACATGTGAGGTTCCCCAAGGTAGTATAACATGTGAGGTTCCCCAAGGTAGTATAACATGTGAGGTTCCCCAAGGTAGTATAACATGTGAGGTTCCCCAAGGTAGTATAACATGTGAGGTTCCCCAAGGTAGTATAACATGTGAGGTTCCCAAGGTAGTATAACATGTGAGGTTCCCCAAGGTAGTATAACATGTGAGGTTCCCCAAGGTAGTATAACATGTGAGGTTCCCCAAGGTAGTATAACATGTGAGGTTCCCCAAGGTAGTATAACATGTGAGGTTCCCCAAGGTAGTATAACATGTGAGGTTCCCCAAGGTAGTATAACATGTGAGGTTCCCCAAGGTAGTATAACATGTGAGGTTCCCCAAGGTAGTATAACATGTGAGGTTCCCCAAGGTAGTATAACATGTGAGGTTCCCCAAGGTAGTATAACATGTGAGGTTCCCCAAGGTAGTATAACATGTGAGGTTCCCCAAGGTAGTATAACATGTGAGGTTCCCCAAGGTAGTATAACATGTGAGGTTCCCCAAGGTAGTATAACATGTGAGGTTCCCCAAGGTAGTATAACATGTGAGGTTCCCCAAGGTAGTATAACATGTGAGGTTCCCCAAGGTAGTATAACATGTGAGGTTCCCCAAGGTAGTATAACATGTGAGGTTCCCCAAGGTAGTATAACATGTGAGGTTCCCCAAGGTAGTATAACATGTGAGGTTCCCCAAGGTAGTATAACATGTGAGGTTCCCCAAGGTAGTATAACATGTGAGGTTCCCCAAGGTAGTATAACATGTGAGGTTCCCCAAGGTAGTATAACATGCCTACCGGTGTCAGGTGTAAGTTTGTATTGTGTGCTGATGATAGTGTTCTATTAATGCCCTTCATTGCTGTACATTTCATTGTATAGCAGTAAAGGAGTGAAATAGACTACCTGCGAACGTCAAAGCCTGTTATATCATAAGCCACTTCAAGAAGAGAGGCAAAAGATACCTAAGGAATATGGCTAACGAAAGTGAGGAGAGCGACTTCTTGTATACCTAACATACATATACTATGACCGGATTATATCTTTAATGTTAATGCAAATAACTGAATTCACCTTATCCGAAATATATCTCCTTTTATTATAATTACTTTCACATAGTTAAATTGCTAAACTATTTAACTTTTAAATATAAATAATACTTATCACATGGACCCCAATGGAAATAAGTCACTTTGACTTTTTGGGGTTATCCAAGGTAATCTACACATATGCTGTTATGTATCATAATCTTTGTAACAGTATTTATGTGTACCTGTACCTGAATAACCTTACTTAAGACAATAGTGGCGTCAGTCCATAGGTCTGCCAGTCCTCCCTCACGAACTACACTTGTTCACCATAAAAACACTTAAATATCACTGTTTCGCTGATATTCATTTCTATGAAGGAGGTGACTTTCTTCTACTGATGTGCTGTAGGAAGTACAATGTCACGGAATAGATTTTTTCCTCACCAACCCTTGTAATTAAGTAATAATTAAGATAGTTTGTGGAGCACACTATAACAAGTCCTACCACCACCACCACTCTCTCTCTCTCTCTCTCTCTCTCTCTTCTCTCTCTCTCTCTCTCTCTCTCTCTCTCTCTCTCTCTCTCTCTCTCTCTCTCTCTCTCTCTCATATGCCTCCTACTCTGAAAATAAAACTTGTAGACGCCTACTATGCCTGCCCAGTTGAGTTCATAATTCGCGGCACTATAGTCTTGCTACCTGGTGGCATAGGTTTAGCAGCTCAGCCTGCCCCACCATGATTCTCTCTCTCACTTGGCGTCCCCTCCACCTAGGAACAACAGCTCCCCTTCAGACTGGCTTTGGCCTATCTCACTTTCCCCGCTGTGAACCCCTTTTGTCTAATAAATACGAAGCTAGTCAATCGGTAGCATTGTCTCCTACCTCTACTCTACACGGCAAGTAATCTGAAGGCCAGACTCGATTCCAGACTCATTAAAACAAATTTTATTATCTTCTTTTCTCCAGGCACTGTGTCAGTCATGTAGGTTCAGAGCTCCCCGGTGAAAATAATAATAATAATAATAATAATAATAATAATAATAATAATAATAATAATAATAATAAAAGATTTCTTTCTCCTTCGTCAGTGTGTAACGAGACCTTCCCGCCTGCACCACCTGGTATAGTGATGACGCCAGATACTAACCCACGCTACAAGACCCACAAGCTTAACTACAACTGCGCAGCCAACGGCATGTCGAACCTCGTCGGCCAGTCCAGCCAGAAGCTGGTCTGCACGAAGTACAATGAGTCGTACTACAACTATGTTGGACCCAACATAACTGAATGTCAGAGTGAGTCTCTCCTTACCTACTCCCTTAAGAATCAAAATAAATATAAGCGACATCATAATAAACATAAGAAACATAAGAACATAAGAACGAAGGAACACTGCAGCAGACCTACTGGCCCATGCGAGGCAGGTCCAAGTCTCCTACCGGCTTAAGCCAATGCACCCAACCTAGTCAGGTCAGGTCACATTGACTTAAGGGAGGAACACGGCAACCGACCTGGTACCACAAGCTATCAGGTCCAACTCACACCCACCCATATCCACTCATGTATTTATCCAACCTATTTTTAAAGCTACACAACGTTCTGGCCTCTATAACTGTACTCGGGAGTTTGTTCCACTCATCCACAACTCTATTACCAAACCAGTACTTTCCTATATCCTTCCTGAATCTGAATTTTTCCAACTTAAAACCATTGCTGCGAGTCCTGTCTAGGCTAGATATTTTCAGCACACTATTTACATCCCCCTTTATTTATTCCTGTCTTCCATTTATACACCTCAATCATATCCCCCCTAATTCTACGTCTTTCTAGAGAGTGCAGATTCAGAGCCCTTAGTCTATCCTCATAGGGAAGGTTTCTGATACATGGGATCAACTTTGTCATCCTCCTTTGTACATTTTCCAGAGCATTTATATACATTTTGGTCACCGTATTACAGAATGGATATAAATGCTCTGGAAAAATGTACAAAGGAGGATGACAAAGTTGATCCCATGTATCAGAAACCTTCCCTATGAGGATAGAATAAGGGCCCTGAATCTACACTCTCTAGAAAGATGTAGAATTAGGGGGGATATGATTGAGGTGTATAAATGGAAGACAGGAATAAATAAAGGGGATGTAAATAGTGTGCTGAAAATATCTAGCCTAGACAGGACTCGCAGCAATGGTTTTAAGTTGGAAAAATTCAGATTCAGGAAGTGTCACAGTAAACATAAGAAACATCAAAGTAAATGTAAGAAACATCAGAGTAAACATAAGAAACATCACAGTAAACATAAGCTTCCCCGTAAACATAAGAAACATCACAGTAGACATAAGAAACGTCGCAGTAAACATAAACGTCACTGTAAACATAAGGAACATCACAGTAAACATCAAATTAATCAAAATGTCAATATAAATATAGGAAATATCAGTATACAATCAGAAATATTAAAAACATAAAATAAAAAATAAAAGAAGATAACTAAAAACATTAGAAAATCAGCATAAACGTGAAGCATCAATATAAATATGTACACCAACAGAAACACCAGTCAGTGGTCAGTGGTCAGTCGTCACGTGAGGTCACAGACCCTGAGCTGCTTTGGGGATAAGCGTGGACGGTTACAAAGCATGGCTTGCTTCTGCAGTGTTTTAAAAATTGAGGTTGGAGAGTTGAAGGAGGAGGTCTTGCTTCTCCAGGAGGAGATTAGGAGGCTGAAGGTCTACCTCAATGGGTCTGGGAGAGAGTGTGAGGTGGCTGGAGTTGTCGGGAATGAGGCTTCTAGCAGTGAGGTGCAGTCCAGCACATGCTACAAGTGGCGAGTGGTAACCAGTAATGGGAGGAGAATCAGAATAAGGAAAGTTAAGAGTGAAGATCTGAAGGTAGGAAATCGCTTCTCTGTTCTTCAGGATGAATGTACTTCAGTGGCCAGTGAAGGTAAGGGTACTACTGCCCCTGCTAACAGAGGTAAGCGCATTCTTGTGGTTGGTGACTCTCAGGTAAGATATATTGACCGTGCTTTTTGTAATAGGAATAAGAAGATGAGAGATAGAGTGTGCTTCCCTGGAGCTGGTGTTGGGGACATAGTTAACAGGCTGGAAAATATCATGTTAGGTAATGGGAACAAGCCCATTATCTGTCTCAGTGCTGGTGGAAATGATATTGGGAAGGGTAGGAGAGAAGAGCTGCTAGATAAGTACAGGTCAGCTATAGATTTCATTAAGTCTAAGGGAGGGGTCCCAATCATATGTAGCATCTTGCCTAGAAGGGGAGTAGGAAATGAATGGTTGTCTAGGGCAATTGGTGTAAATTGCTGACTAGACAGATACTGCAAGGAACTTGCAATCCCATTCGTTGACAACTGGAACAACTTTTATGGCAAACATGTATGTATGCAAGGGATGGGGTACATCTCTCTGGGGCTGGGGTGGTAGCACTTGCAAACTCAATTGAGAAGGCCATTGGTGAAATACCTATGATTTTAAACTGATAGAAGATAGAGGTATGGGTGTGTGTGGGAAACAAGCAGGTTGCAACACTAGGGTTCAAAACAGTAAATGTATAAAAGGCATTCAGCATGAAGTTATAAATAAAGACAATAGATCAGGTCAGCAAACAAAGGGGGACAGCAGAGGGCAGCAAGGGACTATAGATGAATGGTTCAGAGAACCGACATGTTGATAAATTAGACACATGTGCAACTCTTGGGTATCTTTATTGAGGAAACGTTTCGCCACACAGTGGCTTCATCAGTCCATACAAAGGAGAATCTTGAAGAACAGGAGGAGAATGAGGTAATCAGTCCCTCAACCTATTCAAGATTGATGGACTGACCACATCGACTCAAGGTTGAGGGACTGATTACCTCATTCTCCTCCTGTTCTTCAAGATTCTCCTTTGTATGGACTGATGAAGCCACTGTGTGGCGAAACGTTTCCTCAATAAAGATACCCAAGAGTTGCACATGTGTCTAATTTATCAGCAAGGGACTAGCTCCCTTAAGGTTTACTATACTAAAAGCAGGAGTGTAAGAAATAAGATAGATGAGCTAAGATTAATTGCAAGTGCAGGAAACAGATATTATTGCTATAACAGAGACCTGGCTCAATCTGAAATACAGAGAGATGCCCTCTGAATGTCACATACAAGGCTATAAATTATTCCACACTGACAGGGTCAACAGGAAGGGTGGTGGAGTAGCGATGTATGTCAGTGACAATTTAATTTGTTGTGTTAGACAAGATATAAAATTAGAAGCGACAGCCACTGAATCTGTTTGGTTACAGCTTCTCGAGGGCCGAGAAAAACTAATTTTGGGTGTGATTTACAGGGCCCCAAATCTTGATAGGGAGTGCAGTAAACTTCTATGGGACGAAATTCGCAAGGCATCTACATACGAAAATGTTGTGCTAATGGGAGATTTCAACTATAGACAGATTGACTGGAGCAATTTGACAGGAAATTTAGAGTCAGGTGACTTTCTTGATATGATCCAGGATTGTTTTTTAAAACAGTTTGTGACAGAGCCAACTAGGGGAAATAACCTCCTTGATTTGGTTCTTGCCAGTAGGGAAACACTAATTAATAATCTTGAGGTTAATGATGAGCTTGGGGAAAGTGATCACAAATCACTCAGTTTTAATATATCATGGAGTTCCCCTAATAATGGCAATCAGGTCTCCGTCCCTGACTTTCGCTTGGCTGATTTCATAGGACTGAAAAATTACTTAGGTGGGCTGAACTGGAATGACCTGACTAAGGGTCAGGTAGGTGGTGATGGTTACAAATCCCCAGGCCCTGATGAACTGTATGCAAGGGTTCTAAAGGAATGTAAAGAGGAGCTTAGCAAACCTTTGGCTAATCTTTTCAACATATCACTACAAACTGGCATGGTGCCAGATAAGTGGAAAATGGCAAATGCGATACCTATTTTCAAAGCAGGCGACAGGTCCTTAGCTTCGAACTATAGACCAATAAGCCTAACCTCCATAGTGGGAAAATTTATGGAATCAATAATTGCAGAGACAGTTAGTAGCCACCTTGAAAAGCATAAATTAATCAACGAATCTCAGCATGGTTTTACAAAGGGGCGTTCCTGACTTACGAATTTATTAACTTTTTTCACTAAGGTATTTGAGGAGGTAGATCATGGTAATGAATATGATATTGTGTATATGGACTTCAGTAAGGCTTTTGACAGGGTCCCACATCAGAGACTATTGAGGAAAATTAAGGCACATGGAATAGGAGGAGAAATTTTTTCCTGGATAGAGGCATGGTTGACAAATAGGCAGCAGAGAGTTTGCATAAATGGGGAGAAATCAGAGTGGGGAAGCGTCACGAGCGGTGTTCCACAGGGGTCAGTGTTGGGCCCCCTGCTGTTCACAATCTACATAAACGACATAGATGAGCGCGTAAAGAGCGACATCAGCAAGTTTGCCGATGACACCAAAATAGGCCATCGAATTCATTCTGACGAGGACATTAGAGCACTTAAGGAAGATTTGAATAGACTGATGCAGTGGTCGGAAAAGTGGCAGATGCAGTTTAATATAGACAAATGCAAAGTTCTAAATGTTGGACAGGACAATAACCATGCCACATATAAACTAAATAATGTAGATCTTAATATTACGGATTGCGAAAAAGATTTAGGAGTTCTGGTTAGCAGTAATCTGAAACCAAGACAACAGTGCATAAGTGTTCGCAATAAAGCTAATAGAATCCTCGGCTTCATATCAAGAAGCATAAATAATAGAAATCCTCAGGTTGTTCTTCAACTCTATACATCCTTGGTTAGGCCTCATTTAGATTATGCTGCACAGTTTTAGTCACCGTATTACAGAATGGATATAAATGCTCTGGAAAATGTACAAAGGAGGATGACAAAGTTGATCCCATGTATCAGAAACCTTCCCTATGAGGATAGACTAAGGGCCCTGAATCTGCACTCTCTAGAAAGACGTAGAATTAGGGGAGATATTATTGAGGTGTATAAATGGAAGACAGGAATAAATAAAGGGAATGTAAATAGTGTGCTGAAAATATCTAGCCTAGACAGGACTCGCAGCAATGGTTTTAAGTTGGAAAAATTCAGATTCAGGAAGGATATAGGAAAGTACTGGTTTGGTAACAGAGTTGTGGATGAGTGGAACAAACTCCCAAGTACAGTTATAGAGGCCAGAACGTTGTGTAGCTTTAAAAATAGGTTTGGGAAATAAATACATGAGTGGATGTGGGTGGATGTGAGTTGGACCTGATAGCTTGTGGTACCAGGTCGGTTGCCGT